TTGACACAATCTAGAATCACCCAAGAATAGTCTCAGTGAAAGACTGTCTAGACCAGGTTGGCCTGTGAACATGTCTGTGGCAGGACATCTTGATTGTCTTAATGTGGGAAGACCCAGTCGGAGAGTGGGTGGCACCATTCTCCCTGAAGTGCACAGGAGTGGCGAGAGCTAGCTGAACACTAAGCATGAATGCATTCATTTCTCTCTGCTCTTGACTGTGGATCCAATGTCACCAGCTACTTCAAGTTCCTTCCTTAACTTCCCCACATGGTGGACTGTATCCTGGAATTGTAAGGCGAATAAATCCTTTTGTCTCCAAGCTGCTTTTTGTCCAGATACTTTATCACAACAACAGAGACAAAGCTAGGACATTTTCTAGTAACCAGTATGAGCCATGTAAATAAGCATCCCATTAAAACAAAATTCACCGAAGTAAGACCCCTTCCATGTGGACTTCTCCACTCACCCTCATCACTGTTAATTCTCTGTCACCATATGTGGTGGTTTGAATGAGAATGTCCCTCATAGGCCCCCAGTTGGTGGTGTTCTTTGGGGAGATTTAGGAGGCACAGTCTTGCTGGAAGAAATACATCACAATACATCAAGAGAGCAGGCTTTGAGGTTTCAAAAGCCTCATGCCATTCTTAGTGTTTGTTTGCTTGTTTGCTCTCTCTCTCTCTCTCTCTCTCTCTCTCTCTCTCTCTCTCTCTCTCTCTCTCTCTCTCTCTCTCTCTCTCTCTCTCTCTCTCCCAGCTTTGTGCTTATGGTTCAAGATGTGAGATCTCAGCTTCTACTCTTGCCTCATGCTGCTTGCTGGAATACCTCCATTCTACTGTCATGGACTCTTAACCCTTTGGAACCAGAGGCCCAAATAAACTCTTCCTTTCTAGGTTACCTTGTTCATGATACTTCAGCATAGTAACAGGAAAGTAACTGATATACCATAATTTACCCATTTTCTCAGGTACCTGCTGATAAAGGTTCTATTGATCTTGCTCTATCAGGGTTTCCACAGGAGTCAATGAGTGCTATGGGGCAGAGCCCGCTGCCTTGGTGCATTATGTGATGCCAGCTCCCATACAACACCTGACATAAATCTCAAGGATATGTACCTTGGGAAAATACTACAAGCATTTACTATCAGAAGAAGAAGGCATTGGTGAAAAAATTTTCAATAAAGTTCTTCAAAATTATGGAAGACAGATGACTCTCACTGAGGACTAAGAAGCAGTATGGAGAAATAAATGAGATCCACCAGGAAAATACACAGCCAAATGACCCTTCCTTGTCTGCCTGCCAAAGTATGTGTGCCTTGTTCCACATCTACAAAGTATGGCCTAGTGGGCCTAGTGGGCCTCTCCATCATCTGATTTCACCATGAAGTGAGATAATGGGTCAAGTCTGAACCAAGCTGATGGGTATAGCCAAGATGCCCAGATAGGACCAGGCCGCAGGGAGTAATCAGGGTGCATGAAAGTGGCCATGGATAACATGGAGGCAACAAGCCCATATACATGTAGATGCCCCAGCTACATGGATATGACCAGGCTGCATGGAGGTGACCAGGCTGCCTTGGATTTCAAGGAAGTAAAACAAAATGTATGAAGGTATCCATATGCCCACAGCAGCATTTTCTTTTTCCATATTAATCCACTCCATGTATAATAAAGAGTTGTGTTACAACTTAAGTCACAAAGGGCTCCAAGTAGTGCCTATTCTCAGACCTACTACACACACACACACACACAGAGGCGTGCACATGCACAAGCTCGTGTCATGGACATTCATGGGGGTTGAGGATAATACAAAGTAAATGTAATTTTTCCCTAAAAGTTGGAGCACATAAAAAAATCTGTGGACAAGTTATGTGCATACAAGACATTAACATGGAAGAGATCCTCTTGTGCCCTTCATCACCAACCTCATCTCCCTGAAGACATAGATTGTGCTCACATGGACCAGATCCACTTACATCCTTCATCTCCATCCTCATTCTCCTCATGTGCTCTAACTAGGTAAAAGACAGAAGAACTGATATCAAATCTATTTGGAGGATATTTCATTTAAAAAGACATCAACAACTTTATTTTGGGAAAATACAACATTGAAAATAAGCTTCCATTATATAATTTCACTATTATCTCAGACATTGAGTATGTAAATTTGTCAAAAACACTGAAATTCAAAGGAAAAACCAAAACCTTCTTCCTAAGAGGTAATAGTGGTGATTTTTTTTCCTACCAGTGCCAGACACCCAGGAATGGCAGCTGCCCATCCAGGAAAGCAGGAACAGCTAATGTTAGACTTCCCTAGCTCCCTACCAACATCCTAAACTTTTGACAAAAGCTGGAGGGCAAGCGAGCTCTCCCACCATATCCACCCAGCCTCTGCTGCCAATTTAGCCCAACCCTTGTCTTGAACCCTTGCTTCAAGGTCCCCATTGGAGTGTATTAGATGGAGACAGAGCCCACACCTTGAGACCCAGGACCCGTGTTTGCACTGTCAGCCCAACACAGCAACATTTTTACCTCAAGGTTGTTCCTTCAGTGGGTTCCAAGCAGATGCATCCCAAGTGTGTAGAGAATTCTTAGTTTCCTTTTCCGCCATCAGTTCTGAGGCAGATGTGGGCACATTTCAAGGCTCTCAGTCTTTAGAAGATTTTGAAGAAAGGGATGAGGTGTTCAAGAGCTTTTCAAAATTAAGTCTTCTCATCTTCCTTCCAGCATTCTTACCTGGGGTTTCCTGTCACTGCTGATCCATGGGAAACGGGGAAATGGCTGGACAGATGAAATACCCCAAACACTCATTCGTTATTCCGAAGAGAGTGATGGAGCGGTGAGAGTAGAGGACTCTGTCATCTTCCTCGTGGCCATTTGTAGGAATCTATTTTATTTCTAATTCTCTGCATCGAATGAGTTGGTATGTGGAATATTCAAGCAGAGGGAATGGAGCACGGATCGTACGGAAGGCCCAGGTTGACGGGAATGTTAACATCCCTGCGGATTGCTGCACCTACATCCTTCCTCCTGTCAGATTCCACTCTGTCCCCACCCCATGCACCTGCTGCCCTGAGCCTAGCTGTCTGGTGTGCAGCTCCTCATTTGTTACAATATAAAAGTCCCCTTAATATTTTCTACCATTTCGCATTGCCAGTGCAATAATGACACCCTCAGGAACAACTCTTCCACCCATGGATATTTTTAACACTGCTGTCATCTTCTGCAATTTTGTGAAGGTTAAAATGAGCTTTTGTGGTGCTGGGGAGAAGTGACAGACTGCTGGTTTCTGAGCCCAGATGCTTCGGGCCCATCTGCCTGTCCATTTACAGCAGTATCACTTGGCCTATGCCACTGGCCAGGCCCTGGCAAGCTCCCACATAGACCTGGCCATCTCATGCCACCAAGGCCAACACTATCTGTGACAAGAGGGCCCCACCTCCCAGATTTCAACCATTCTGCTTTCCTCCCAAGAAGCCCCATAGGGCATTCCCTACACACCCCATCCTGGGAACAAGGTCGATGAAACCAAAATCTACCCACTGCCTCTTGTTTTATTTCCTTTCCTCCGCCTTTGTTTAGCTTTCCTTATATTCTGTCTCAAGCCTATCCTGCTTAAGGTGGCAGGGATTCTGGGCTCTCCTGGGAGTGGATGCTAAGTGACTCTGTGACCACTGCCACAGACTGTGAGGATCTTGTCAGCGCGTTTGTCGGGAGCATTTTAAGCGAGTTGCAAGTGATGGGCCCTGACGTGCGTCACGGCAGGAGCAGTGCCCACTTACCTCCTGCCCCGTAATTGTCCTTAAGTGCTGCCTTTTGGGCCATGGGGTCAGCGACCTTGGTGTCACCAGTGCTCTTCTCCACACGGGCACCTCTCCTTCCTCCATTTCTCATTCTGCCTGAGAATTTCAACAGGGCTAAGTGTCCCCCTCGGATTCCCAGATCAATCTTTCCACTTCAGAGGTTGGATCTCACCAGACCTTTTCTGCCCTGGCCCTGTCCCATCCTGGCGGGCAGGTGCCTCCCATCCTGTCATTTGTTACAGGGAAATGTTTTCTGAGAGTTACCGTTTGCGAAACCCTGAGTGACGGAGGGTGGGCTCAGGGACAGCCTCTGCTAGGATTAAAAAAAAAAGAATAGTCTGAAGAATCCAAAGTTAGGCCAGAAGTTAGTCTTCTACCAGCTTTTATTGCTACTGTTATTTATGTGTGTGTATGTGTGTGTGCATGTGTGTACATGTGATCACGTGTATACAGGCCAGATGTCGATGTCAACATGTCCAATAAACCCCAGGATCTTCTGTCTATGCCTCCCCAGCTCTGGGATTGATTGTTGTGCCCATCATTTGGGATGGGTGCTAGGGACTGAACTTAGCACCTTGTGCTACCCAGCAAGCACCTAACCAACTGATAGGTCTTCCCAGCCCCTGCTCCTGCAGTCTTAATGACAAGGAAAGAAATTTTTGCTGTTACTTTTGTTCTCCTTTTTTTCTTTTCTCTCTTTCTTTTCTTTCTTTCTTTCTTTCTTTCTTCTTTTTTTTTTTGAGACAGGGTTTCTCTGTATTGTTTTGGAGGCTGTCCTGGAACTTGCTCTGTAGACCAGGCTGGCCTTTGTCTGCCTCTGCCTCCCGAGTGATGGGATTAAAGGTATGCACCACCAGCTTGTTCTTCTTTTTTAAATTAGATTTCTTCATAGATGTGCTGTCAGGAACCAGGGAATAGCATAGAAGACTCAGTAGCAGGAGGAATGAATTTTTTTAAAGTGCTTACGTGTAATGATTCACATCTGTCATTTCAGCTCTTGACAGGCTGAGGACTGTAGTAAGTTCACAGGCTAGACTACACCGTGAATAGGGGACAGCCTAAGCTACAGAGTAGACAAACAAGCACAAAATGAAAACCAAAAGAAAAGAGAGCAGTAGGATTAACTCAATGGCTCGGGAAAAGCTTGCTTCTCAGCATAGTCCCCAACTCTACCATTAACTTCCTGAACTTTCTCCACCAGCTGAGGAAAGCACAGTGACCTGTGAATGGAGTCATACAGAAAGCATGCAAGTTCACAAGCACGTGAGTAAACCTGTCGGTCGCATATCCACTTCTCCATCCCTCTTCTAAGGTTGGCGTCCTCATCCATCTCCTGAGGAGGAAGGGAAGGTGGAGAGTATGCCCAGGAAACACAACCCATGGTTTCAAGAATAAATATGGAGGTATGGGGACCACATGCACCCTCCCACATGTCCTCTCCTTTGATAAGTTAATATGTTCTCATAGCATAAGCCCTCGGTGAATTGACATTTTAATCATTTATGGTTTGGCTGGAGATGGCAGCAGTCTTATTTTTTTTCTGGAAAAAAATCTTTATAAGCCATGAGAGTAGCACTGAAGGTACTTGAGAGCCTTTGGCCATAAACTATGTGTTTAGGAGCTGAGCCATTTCTGTCTAGAAGTTTTCTACTGTTCCACAAAATTGCAACAGCTGAGTGCCCACTGTGCACCAAGGAGCACCACTATGGCCTCCCTGCACATGGCACCAAACAGACTTCAGTGTAGCACAGTATTCACAAGCCTTGGTGGTGCATATGTTGCACAAGAACCATGTCTTCTATCAGACCAGTGCAGTCTAGGCAGGGTGGGGAAAGCTTTGATGTAGCTGAGACAGGCCATCTTCAAGTCTCTATAGCTTGTAGTCTGAACCAAATATTCCCTACATGTATTGCCCGTAAGGTTTCTGAGATCACTTTGGTTCTCCAGACCAGTGTAAGTGATTAAGTATGGGAGCTCTGAATTTGAGATGCAGCCAGTCCCAGCTCCTTGAGCTCCTGTGTCCAGACACACACACACACACACACACACACACACACACACACACACACACACACACTGACCTTTCACTGAAGGAAGCAGATCAGCTCACAGTCTAGCTTTGAACTCCCAACCATCTGGCTAAATCTTTCAGCCAAGGCCAAATTTCTTGAGATAATCTGTAGTCACTTACTAGAAATAAAGGGAGCAGCCAGTTAGCACTAGAGAATGAGAATAAAATAGCAGTCATAAAGGGGACCACACCACCCAACACAGGTCTCCCCAGCAGGTGGCTTTGCTCCCATTGGAATGATGTAGGTGTCAATCAACATGGCCTCATAGTTTCATGTCCATCACAGTGTCCTCCTATGCAAACCTATGCTCTAGGCCCTGTCACCAGGTGTCTCGTGAAGGGGCCACACTGAACAAGTTTCTTTGCAGAGCTCTTCCCTTCTTGTGTTTAATGTGCCTCCTTTGTCATCATTCAACTTGCTTGGGAAATCGTGAGCTGGACAGGAGATGGAGCTCAGCGGAGTGCTTGCACACACACACACACACACACACACACACACACACACACAAAGCCCTGGGTTCCACCACTAGTGCCTCACAAACAAGGTGTGTTGGCACATACCTGTAATCCTAGTAATTCTTGGTATGTGGAGGCAGAATGATCAAAAGTTCAAGTTCATCCTTAACCTACATAGTGAATCCAAAGCCAATCTGGGTTACATAAGATCTTGTTGCAAAACAAACAAACAAAAATGAATAAATGATGAGCTGTGCTTGGTCAATCTTAGTCAATGTCAAGGAAAACATGACATGTTGATTACTGACAGACTCATCATTAGTGGGTATCACACCTAAAAATCTAAGCCATTAGAGACTCAGGTGTCCATGGTCTTGATATGCTGGAGTAGATGGAGTGTGACTCCTGACACTATTCAAGGACAGACATAGGAGCAGGTCTACATACCCCTGACCAACCTCACTCTGGGGTACTGAGGATTCCTGGAGTAAAGAGCTCAAGGAGGCAGGCAGAGGGAAAGCTCCATGCTATACCCTTTTTAAATTATTTTCATTTATGAGTGTTAGTATGTGCTTGTGTGAAGATGTGGTTTCATGCAGTAAAGTACCTCCAAGTTATTTTTTCTTAATTAATAAAAAAGCATGCAAGAAAATGCCTTGCTGCACTAACAGAGCCTGCTCCTGTGTAATGGGATCATGCTATACCAAAATCTCCCTCCCTCTCTCTCTCTCTCTCTCCCTCTCTCTCTCTCTCTCTCTCATCTCTGCTTTATTCTACACAAGCTATCACACCTCTCCTACATTTAAAGCTCCTCCCTGAACCACACAGCTTCCTTAACTAGGAAAACAGGAAGCTTTCAGCAGCAGCACCATGGGCTTCCTTTCCACCAGACTTCCCCCATTCACTCTGTAGGTTCCACCTTCACTCCCAGCAGGAACCTGGCACAGAGACTAGAACAGGAAGAAAGTAGCATCAGCTTTTAGACACCCCTATGGGCTGGCTGAAGGAGAAACAAATGATCACAGTAAGATGCTAATTCGTAAATAAATCATCACAGTATAAGAGCCTGAGCTCAGGAATACAAAGCTGTGTGGAACATTCCTTTCTGAAGCCATCCTGGTCTGGAGTGGGAACATCTGTATACCTCTCTCAGGCTCCCCCTGCCCCCTTCCCTCACCTGGTCAGACATGCTCTAGGTTCTCAGTGCCAAGACACGTAGCAGCCTCCTATGTCTGTTCCACATGGAGATGGTGGCCTGATTGGTAATAAATTAGAGGTAAGTGTGTGCCTCGTAATTCCATTTCATTTCAAGAAAATGAACAAAAGGCAGGAGAAAGAGATTTGGGAATGTGTGTGTACATGTGTGCGTGTGTGCGTGTGTAAGAGTGTGTTCAAGCACTGAAATGCACAGATACATGTTAGGTGGTGCACATGTGTGTTTGGGTGTGCATATGGAGGCCAGGGATCTATCTTAGGTGTCTTCCTTAAACACTACTATCATTATATGAAACAGGATCTGGCTGATTCAGCTAGACTGTCCTACCAGGTAGCCCGGTGATTTTGTACTTCTGTCTTCCTAGCACTGGGATTACAAGCAAGCCCTGCCACACCAGACTTTTTAAAGTATGTTCTAGAGTTAAACAGGAGTCCTCACACTTGCACAGCAAGCATCTGACTGCCTCTCCTCCACCTACATTTGACTTGGAGATTTGGGTGCAGGGTCATTATTGCTATTGTTTGTTTTGTTTTATAGTTCTGGACATTGAACCTATGATTGTGGATATGCAAGGGAGAGAGGCCAGCACTCCACCACTGAGCAATATTCCCAGCCCAGAAGTTCCTTCTTATACAGAGTAGCCAATAAGTTCTTTTTCAATGGTATTGGAGGAGACCTGTGTGAAAAGTGATATGACCAGCCATGTGACCATCAGAGGGGAGCAGGAATGCACAGTCCTGAAAAGCACAGTCCTGGTCTGCAGAGGGTAAAGAGTGTGGGCAGATCAAGGAGCAAGATTCCAAGAACCAGAGAGTTCAGAACATTACAAAGGCCAGTGAGTGTTATTGTGTCTTCTGGTGGAAAGGGTTTGCATAATGGCAAAGTAAGCTGAAGAGTTTCTTCATGCCAGTGTTAAGAGGCTCTCTTAGCTAGGTTTCTATTGCTGTGATAGAACACTGTCTTAGTTAGGGTTTCTATTGCTGTGAAGAAACACCATGACCACTCTAACTCTTATAAGGGAAAACATTTAATTGGGGCTGGCTTATAGTTCAGAGGTTTAGTCCATTATCATGGCGGGTGGCAGGCAAGAAGACATGGTGCTAGCTGAGAGTTCTACATTTTAATCCACAGGCAGCAGCAGGAGTCTGTGTCCCACACTGGGTGTAGCTTGAGCATAGGAGACCTCAAAGCCTACAGCCCCAGTGACATACTTCCTTCACAAGGCCACACCTACTCTAACAAAGCCATATCTCCTAATAGTGCCACTCCCTTAGGGGGCCATTTTCTTTCCATCTACCACAAACATTCTGACCAAAAGCAACTTAGAGAGGAAAGGGTTTACTTCATCTTACAACTCTGTTGCCAAAATCCATCACTGAGGGAAGTCAGGGAAAGAACTTGAGTTAGGAACCTGAAGGTAGGGGCTGATACAGAGGCCATGGAGGGTTGCTGCTACTGCCTTGCTCTCCTAGCTTGCTCAGCCTCCCAACACCCAGGGGTGGCACCCCACATGGGTTCCTGGGCTCTTCCATAGTAATCACTAATCAAGAAAATACCCTATAGGCAATCTTGCCTAAAGGCGATATAATGGAGGCACCTGCAATCCTTTCTCCTTGATAACTCTAGTCTGTGTCACATTGACAAATTCTAATCAGGACAGTCACTATTCTAAGCATATATTCCTCACTAGGCTCCTCAGTTCAAGGAACCTCTTATTTTGTGTTTGCGTACATAGTAATTTGGGGATGTGGCCTTAATTGTCAACTAGAGGAAATTTACCACTGCCCCTTTTAACAATAAATGAAGTGGCTAGCAACCAGGTATGTCTCCATGTGATTACATACAGAAATGTTTTTAAACTGATTTCCTTAGTTTAACACTTGTTCTCAGCAATGGATTAGAAACACATACAAATAAAGTAAAATAGTATATGTGTCTATGCATTACCAGTGAGCTCTGGGTCCCCATCTTAGACCCAAAATCCTCCCGCTTGCCCTCTCTCGGATCCCCTGACCTGGGGACTGCAGCCAGGTAGACTTGCCCCCGGACTGGCGACCAAGCTACCAGGAGCATGCAGAAACAGCAGGTCAACTCCCGCCCGCACTCAGGACAGAGGACAGAAGACAGAGAGCAGAGGTCAGAGATTTACTTGCACCCACTGAAAGGGAACCCTGGTTGCCTACCCACCAGGAGAGGAAGAGGCTTTCTACACCCACTGGAAGAAGTTATTGGCAAAAGGCAATATAAGAACACACTCAGCAACCGAAAAACAAATATGACACCACCAGAGTCTAGAGATTCTACACCAGCAAGACCTGAACACCCCAGTGCAGATGAAGTACAAGGGAATGACCTTAAAAACATCTTCATGAAAATGATAGAGGCCCTCAAAGAGGATGTGATAAAAACCCTTAAAGAAATGGAAGAAAAAACAAACCAAAAAATCCAGCAAATGCAAGAAAGGGAGGAAAACACGAAGCAAAAATTAAAAGAAACAATTCAAACAGTGCAAGGATTGAGAGCTGACATGGAGGCAATAAAAAAAAACACAGTCTGAAGGAATGCTGGAAATAGAAAAACTGGGAAAATGGTCAGGTACTACAGATGCAAGCATAACCAACTTTTTAA